GGGAAATATGATTAATTGTTCATATTAATATTTACTACTTTTTTAATGTCTATCTGAGATGTTTACATTTTGAATTGTTATTTGTAGTCTTTTAATTTCTCTAATGTACAATGCCTTGTCTTTTTATGCTGCTGTTGGGATCAATAAAGCACTTATTATCGTAACTTATCTTAATAGGACACTTAAAGAGGCCATATTCTGCGTTTTGGGGGGTTTTCCCTTTCCTGTAGTGTGTTATAACTTATAACGGTTTTAGTGCATGTAAATGGTCTGCAAAGGTTAAAATCCCTGTGGGAGTTTCTCTTGGACTCCACTATGTAACAATCAAGCTCTTATTGGCTAGCGCTCCAACACATTGTACGTGATAGGCTAAGGAGCGGGACATCTCTAAGCTGGTTGACCAAACAGAGCCGGCCAGCTAACCAATCAGAGCAGACTGGGCTCTGGTTTCAGACAGAGGGTGAAAAGAGGTGCTGCAGCACAGACAGTGTGAGAAAAATAAAGAGCTTTAAACATTAAAGCATGGAGACATGAAGAGACACTACATACTGATATACACCTGAACATCAGTAGGAGAGGACTCTTTAAAGTAGAGACACTACATACTGATATACACCTGAACATCAGCAGGAGAGGACTCTTTAAAGTAGAGACACTACATACTGATATACACCTGAACATCAGCAGGAGAGGACTCTTTAAAGTAGAGACACTACATACTGATATACACCTGAACATCAGCAGGAGAGGACTCTTTAAAGTAGAGACACTACATACTGATATACACCTGAACATCAGCAGGAGAGGACTCTTTAAAGTAGAGGCACTACATACTGATATACACCTGAACATCAGCAGGAGAGAACTCTTTAAAGTAGAGACACTACATACTGATATACACCTGAACATCAGCAGGAGAGGACTCTTTAAAGTAGAGACACTACATACTGATATACACCTGAACATCAGCAGGAGAGGACTCTTTAAAGTAGAGACACTACATACTGATATACACCTGAAACATCAGCAGGAGAGGACTCTTTAAAGTAGAGACACTACATACTGATATACACCTGAACATCAGCAGGAGAGGACTCTTTAAAGAAGAGACACTACATACTGATATACACCTGAACATCAGCAGGAGAGGACTCTTTAAAGTAGAGACAATACATACTGATATACACCTGAACATCAGCAGGAGAGGACTCTTTAAAGTAGAGACACTACATACTGATATACACCTGAACTTCAGCAGGGAGAGGACTCTTTAAAGTAGAGACACTACATACTGATATACACCTGAACATCAGCAGGAGAGGACTCTTTAAAGTAGAGACACTACATACTGATATACACCTGAACATCAGCAGGAGAGGACTCTTTAAAGTAGAGTCATTACATACTGATATACACCTGAACATCAGCAGGAGAGGACTCTTTAAAGTAGAGACACTACATACTGATATACACCTGAACATCAGCAGGAGAGAACTCTTTAAAGTAGAGACACTACATACTGATATACACCTGAACATCAGCAGAAGAGGACTCTTTAAAGTAGAGACACTACATACTGATATACACCTGAACATCAGCAGGAGAGAACTATTTAAAGTAGAGACACTACATACTGATATACACCTGAACATCAGCAGGAGAGGACTCTTTAAAGTAGAGACACTACATACTGATATACACCTGAACATCAGCAGGAGATGACTCTTTAAAGTAGAGACACTACATACTGATATACACCTGAACATCAGCAGGAGAGGACTCTTTAAAGTAGAGACACTACATACTGATATACAGCTGAACATCAGCAGGAGAGGACTCTTTAAAGTAGAGACACTACATACTGATATACACCTGAACATCAGCAGGAGAGGACTCTTTAAAGTAGAGACACTACATACTGATATACACCTGAACATCAGCAGGAGAGGACTCTTTAAAGTAGAGACACTACATACTGATATACACCTGAACATCAGCAGGAGAGGACTCTTTAAAGTAGAGACACTACATACTGATATACACCTGAACATCATCAGGAGAGGACTCTTTAAAGTAGAGACACTACATACTGATATACACCTGAACATCAGCAGGAGAGGACTCTTTAAAGTAGAGACACTACATACTGATATACACCTGAACATCAGCAGGAGAGGACTCTTTAAAGTAGAGACACTATATACTGATAAACACCTGAACATCAGCAGGAGAGGACTCTTTAAAGTAGAGACACCACCATGTTAATACACATCAATTCCTCCATCAGTTTCCTGGCTTTTTTGGCCCTCAGACTTTATTGTTAAACACCGTTCCAGTTCTCATGCTGACCTTCACTCCTTTCTGAACCAGCTGTGTGTTTATTAGACATTTTAGATTTTACAACTGCTTCCTGAGAGCTGTGACTAAATTAGAGATGTTCCCCCGTGCTGTATACAGTTAATGCTATAACTCTGAGTATTATACAGAACATTAATATCTCCTGCTGTTCGAGACAGTGTATAACAACTCTTATAAAACAGCTGCTCTGTCCCAAAGAGTCCTCTTTGAAAAACACATGTTTACTTTACAGTGTTGGAAAGATACAATGAATGGTCTGGAAATTATTTTATTTTTTTAGCGCCACATAATATTTGTTCTCTACGTTACACTTTATTTAGCTAATGACTTTATCCAATTAAGCGACTTAAAAAAGTGCAATACAGTAAACCACAAATATACAAACTCAGAACAACAACACAAATCCAGATATATTCGAATTCAAATAAGATCAAGCCAGTGTTAGTGCTGGTGCATTAGTTTCATGTAGCCAAATGCTAATTGTTATTTTTGAGCAGTGGAAACAGGTGGATTTTCTGTGTGGAAGAAGATGTGTAGACTTGTTGCTGTCCTGATATCAATGGACAGTTCATTCCACAATGTTGCAGCCAGGATAGCAAACAAGCATGTTTTTATTGAGGGGTTTCTGGGTCGTCCTGGATGTAGGATCTGTTAGAGCCAATATTTCGTATAAGAAAGGCCACCTAATCGTGACGTCTGTAGTCAACTACTGTAGAGTAGAAAAGACTACAATTCCCAGGGCACCTCCTCTAAAGTGACAGACGGGCAGCAACCTGTATCGAGGCAGTATTTAACCGTTCAATTAACCTTTAAGTGATCAAGTTATATAAGCGTTAACAAACAAAGAAAGCCAGAAAGAATACCTAAGTTATTTGTTATTTAATTTGAGTTTTGAATTCTAAACATTTCAGACTTTTTCTCAAAATATTGAATTTTTCTCAAAATATTGAATTTTTCTCAAAATCTGACTTTTTCTCAAAATGATGACTTTTTCTCAAAATGTTAACTTTTTCTCAAAATCCTAACTTTTTCTCAAAATATAGACTTTTTCTCAAAATATAGACTTTTTCTCAAAATCTAAAAATTCTGACTTTTTCTCAAAAATAGACTTTTTCTCAAAATTCTGACTTTTTCTCAAAATATAGACTTTTTCTCAAAATCTAAAAATTCTGACTTTTTCTCAAAAATAGACTTTTTCTCAAAATCTAGAGAAAGCCAGAAAGAACACCGAAGTTGTTTGTTATTTAATTTTAGTTTTGAAATCTAAACATTTCAGACTTTTTCTCAAAATATTGAATTTTTCTCAAAATATTGAATTTTTCTCAAAATCTGACTTTTTCTCAAATGATGACTTTTTCTCAAAATGTTAACTTTTTCTCAAAATCCTAACTTTTTCTCAAAATATAGACTTTTTCTCAAAATATAGACTTTTTCTCAAAATCTAAAAATTCTGACTTTTTCTCAAAAATAGACTTTTTCTCAAAATTCTGACTTTTTCTCAAAATATAGACTTTTTCTCAAAATCTAAAAATTCTGACTTTTTCTCAAAAATAGACTTTTTCTCAAAATCTAGAGAAAGCCAGAAAGAATACCGAAGTTGTTTGTCATTTAATTATAATAATATAAAGGAAAGAAAACAAGCAACAAATCTCAGTTTAAGGCGTCTAGTGGCTTGATGGAGAAATGAGGATGGAAGGATGGACAGGATCCCTTCACAGCACTGTAACCCCACAGTATCCTCTATATTCTCAGATTGTGTTTTGTCCCCTCCAGAGATCCGTAATGGCAACCTGAAGAGCATCCTGGGCCTCTTCTTCATCCTGTCGCGCTACAAGCAGCAGCAGCAGCAGCAGCAGCAGTACTTCCAGTCTCTGGTGGAGCTCAGCCAGCAGAGCAGCAGCTCCTCAGCCTCCAGCAGCCGGACCGCAGACATGCAGTCCAGGTACCTCACACAGCTGATACTTAGGCCCTATTCCAAACCACACCCTACCCTCTCCCCTCCGTCTGTAGTGACACTCGCAGCTGAACGAGTGTTAGAAAAGTATCAGTGGTTCCTGGCTTGAGCTTCAACCTCAGGATCCATGTATTTGTGATCCTCTCAAGAATGGAAGTAGTCATCACATACAGAGCATCAAGTAGTTCCTGAACACAGTCACAAGATGGAGGAGTACTGGGTCTTGTAGGTAATCATACGTCCTGTTATTTACAAAATACTGACTTTTTTTCAAAATCTAAACATTTCAGATTTTTTCTCAAAATATAGACTTTTTCTCTAAATCTAAAAATTCTGACTTTTTCTCAAAATATAGACTTTTTCTGAATACTTTAAAATGTTAATAATCCCTGGTCCCCGGCTTGAGCTTGAATCTCAGGATCCATGTATCTGTGATCCTCTCCAGAATGGAAGTAGTCATCACATACAGAGCATCAACTAGTTCCTGAACAGTGTCCTTCACATGCTGATATCCAAGAGAGGGAGTTACACAGTCACAAGATGGAGGAATAGAAAGCAGTATTCAATGTTTACTTCAGATTAGCTCCACGTCAGAAATGAGCATGCTTGATGTCTCTCTCCATAGAGGCTGAATCATCATGTTAATCACATAGCTATCATATGCCTCAAACAGTCCTGATGCTCTTCTAGGTAATCATACATCCTGTACTTGAGTAAAAGTAGAAGTACTCAGATCTTCTTGAGTAAAAGTAGAAGTACTCAGATCTTCTTGAGTAAAAGTAGAAGTACGAGAGTGTACAGGGCCGCACCTGGCCAACTTGGGGCCCCAAGCGACATTGTGAGATGAGCCCCCCCCCCCCCCCCCCAACCGACAGGAGTGAAAACTATTTTTTTGGAAACAAAGTAGGCTACTTTTCAAATATAATTCCTGTTTATTATTATTATCAACACAGTTACTTTTTTATGTACACAGCTACCTTTGGGATACCTTTGTTATCATGTGACTCTAATGTTGGAAGAGGACACAGTAACTCAGAAGGAGGCTGTAAGAACAGCAGACAGATTTGGAACAATCTCCCCTCTCTCGGACAGAAACAGGAAATGCCGTAACTTTTCGTAACAACAGCTAAGAAATCAGCATCCCTGGATTACAAATAACAAAAATAACAAAAAAGAAACTACAACAATCTTTAATTGTGTTGCCTCTCTTAGTTTTAAACCTGATGTGTTTTATAACAGTCTGTAAATATACACAACTTTATAATAAAATGCACACAGGTATGATCCTAAGTTTAAAAAACACGAGGTTACCATGAAGTTATTAACATCTGTATGACGATATTAAATGTCTATCTTGTTGTGCAGTTTATCAGTTAATGTTTCCCTGGTGTTGGTTTGGCTCTCAGGTGTTTCCCAGAGGTCGCTAATGTCACTGGTTTGAATCATTGGACGCATTAATAATATCTAGAGTCTCTGATGGAATACAGATCTGGTTTTTTGCTTCTTAATTGGGTCCAGTTCGAGCTCATTTGAACAGAATGATGAACAGCCTTCATCTGAAATGTTTCTCATTAAGGCTTCTGCTGAGTCAGCTCCATGAGGAGGATTGGACGAGGCGGAGACAAGCTGGAGGACACATGTCGGATCTACATTACCTTAGCCGCAGAGTGCATGTGCTTTCATACTTTTTAGTTAAGAGATAAAATATTAGACTTTCATGTCGCTATGTTATTCTACAGGACAAAAGTGTGTGTGTGTGTGTGTGTGTGTATGTGTGTGTGTGTACGCGCGTGTATTACAAGCCATACAGTACATGTATACACAACACACACACATAAAAAGACAGTATATACCCTTATATACATACAAACCTACATAAATGTATCTTATTTGGGATACAGATCCACAATCCCAGAAAGAGAGATTGAGAAAAATTTTAAGAAAACTTAATAATTATAAAATAATAATAATAATAATTCAAACACAAGATACTCAATAATATGAAGACATGTATGGTGTTGGCAGCTCAGCAGTAAATAGAGCATGATGCCTTCGAGGAGTTTCTAAAGGAAGCTGACATGCATTTCCCCCCCAGATCAAGTTACTGTGCGTGTGTGCGCGCGCGTGTGTGTGTGTGTGTGTGTGTGTGTGTGTGTGTGTGTGTGTGTGTGTGTGTGTGTGTGTGTGTGTGTGTGTGTGTGTGTGTGTGTGTGTGTGTGTGTGTGTGTGTAATGAGAGCATTTAGTCTCAGGCCATGTGAGTAAGATGATATCCTCGCTCTGTTTGGACGCGTTATTATGAGGTGGTAGGTCACTTTATCGTGTGTGTGGGGGGGTTATTAGGGGCACAGCTGCCTCCCATTCCTACAGTCCCCCCTTAGCAACAGGTGGAGAATGATCTCTCTCACACACACACACACACACACACACACACACACACACATGTAAACACAATGAATCCTGGAGTGTGGGAGTTCAGTTAATGATAAAGCCGTCGCAGCATCTTTCTTCAGCTGAGAAGGTTTGAAGGGTTTGATCGTTTCCAACGGATGAGAAATCATCAGGACATGTTGCTTCTGTGAGGAAAAGTCTGCACGTGTAGCGTGTTGTTGGTGTGAAATACATTTACGTGTGTGTGTTGGACTGGTTTTCGGCCAAAAAGGTGTCGGCACGGCCGAAAAGACACGACGGTGCGGGACACACCAATCTGATAGGGCGACAGGACGCTCATCGACGGCCAACATCGGCTTGGTGTGTCCGGGGCTTTAGGCTTTAATAAAAATCTGTTTGTCGTGTTTTTTTAGGATTCTTCTTTAATAATATATTTATGAAGGTAACACAAATCTTAAGCTGATTCTGAAACCCTCTGCTACTGCGAGGACACTCATCAAAAACTCATATTAAACACCATTTAACACACACACTTTATTCTGATTTTAAGATCACAGTGTTTCCAAAGAAGAATTAGACCAATTATTTCAGGCTAACTGAGTGAAATGTGAGATAAAATAATCTGTAAAGCTTTCTAAATTATCAAATTATCACTCACACACACACACACACACACACACACACACACACACACACACATTTAGCCCACTGCACATCCTCACTGGTGTTACTGGGCTTTCTATAGACACCACCTGCTGGTCTGACTGGTGTCTCTGGGGTGTGTGTATTATGTGTGTGTGTGTGTGTGTGTGTGTGTGTGTGTGTGTGTGTGTGTGTGTGTGTGTGTGTGTGTGTGTGTGTGTGTGTGTGTGTGTGTGTGTGTGTGTGTGTGTGTGTGTGTGTGTGTGTGTGTGTGTGTGTGTCCGAGGGGGGAAGTCCCTCATTGGTCAGATCCCGACAGTGTGGAGCCGCGGGAGGTTTTTCAGAGCAGTAGTTTAGCCTCAGCACTCCCTCCCTCTTTATCTTTTATCATGTCCCGGGGCGAACAAGTAGACCCCCCGCTGTGCCGAGCCTCTCGCCTGCCCACCGCCGTGACCAGGAGGAACCAGGTGCATTATGGGAGAGCCGACGCATCTCCTAGGTACAGCATTAGATCGTGTGGGTGGGTGTGTGGGTGTGTGTGTCAAGGAATGAGATGTTTGGAGCTTTCACACTCGCTGATATCATATGTCAGTGGCATCATGAAGTGTCAAATGTTTCGGTTCCCATGCATTGTCCTGGTTGATAGAGACTGTCAGACAGAGATATGAATGGTTTCTTGATCTTTGTTATGGCATACTGTGAGAAGAAGTTTGAGAGGAAGTCATGATTACATATTTCCGTGCTTGTTTTCTGAGTAGATAATAAAAGCCCATAGCTTTTGTGTTGAAAGGAAGTGTTGAAAAAAGAGTGTAAAATACACCCTATAAACTCATGTTGTGCAGTTTAACATATAATTCAGATTTTGAGATCAAAGTGTTTCCAAAAGAAGAATAAGATAAAATATCTCAGGCTGACTTTGAGTGAAAAATGTAGAATATAAACCATAAGACAGTTTGAACGATGCAGCCGTCAAAACATCGATATTTGGAAGAATCGGATGTAGAGTAATGTCAGACGGTTTGAAGTAATATGCGTCCAGCTTGAGTAGAAGTAGATAAAAGAACAGTGTAGTTCAGAAATACAGTAAAAGGAAATAATTAGTCTTCGTGGACTTGTTGATGTATATTTGTACTATAGGCTAGGTGCAAGAAAAGTCCTCTTTGTACACTTAAGCGGGCAACAATGCATCACAAACAATCAGCTTGCAACATGTAACAAGCATTGATGCACATACTGAGGCTCGAACAGATACTTGAGACATAAGATAAGATATCACTTTGTTGAACCAGAGTTGTTGTGCCAGAGTTACAAAAATACGATAACACATATAACACAGCAGCATAATAATACAACTGTACAGTAACAGTGCAGTAAAAAGAGCAATTAAATAACTACAGACGGTCAGATAAGTCATGTAAAATCCTGTACAGTGAGAAGCAGTATTTAGTAGTGCAAAAACTGCTTGTCACTGTATTTTACATTAACATGTGTGAGTCTGTGTCCGAGCTAACAATGCTAAAAGTAGCTGTTTGAAAGGTGCTGATTGGACCACATTAGACAGACCTCACTTTGGACACGAAGGTCAGCTGACATCTCGTTTCCTGCTGTCATCACGTCGAGCCGTCTCTATTCTGGATCTGAAACCGTATCGAGCTGAAACTGATATTCCTCAGACTTTATAGAACAGCTAAGGTCTTGTATATTGCTTACATGTGCACCACAGTGACTATTAAACCCTGTTGATGTGTGTTGTATTGGATCAAAAGTGACAGATGTCCCACACACACACACACACACACACACACACACACACACACACACACACACACACACACACACACACACACACACACACACACACACACACACACACACACACACACACACACACACTTCTGCTTTCCACCAGCAGTGTGAGATCCTGGTGTCTCTTTTTCCACTCTGGAAAGATCTGAA